AGTGTGTCTTCCAGGGTGACTTAGTGCACATAGAATGAATTTTGTGGTGAACTCTGGATAAGAAAAGACATCCAAGTCAAGGTCTTCATGTACAGGAAGTAAAAGTTGTGAGTGGAATACATAGAAATTAATTGTGGGCCAGAGAAGAAAAGAAGTAAACACTAGAAGCAAGAAAATGAGTCAAAGATATTGGATGAACTACAGTGCTGAAAGAATGCTAAACTTGGTCAAGATACAAATCCTTTTCAATATTAGAACTTTCCAGAATTGTTATTCCATTTTCCCCTTTCTTGACAGTTTTATTTAATGAGGAGTAGTCTTTGCTTTCATCTATTAAATAGTTATAACTTCAGAAAGAAACAGCATGGATAGTCTTTTTTTGTTAATAATTAAAAAAATCAAGTTACAGGTATGCATATTTTATTGATGTTAAGAGGAGGGCTGAGATCTACACTTATCTGTGGGTATAAAGATTAATATTGACAATGTAGTTAGATGGTATTTTCTAGTTCCATCCAAAAGGGTTATTGAGAAACATAGCACTAGGGAAATTCCCAGAAGTTCTTAAGGATGAAGCCAGCTATTACTCTAAGCAACAGTGGAGAGGACACCTAAATTGACTTTCCCCTGTAATCAGATTGGTGACTACCTTGTCATCATAGAACCTGACGGAAGCTGATAAAGGGATCTAAAGTGAAACACTGGGTGAAGATACCCGAGACAAACCCAAGAGGGGGAGGAGTGATAATATGAACAAAGGGTTCAAGACCATCATGGTGATACCCACAGAAATAGCTGATCTGAGAAAATAAGAGCTCACTGACTCTGGACTGATAGCAGGCACACATGCAAAGGACCAAATTTGGCCCACTGAATGTGGGTGGCAGTTGTAAGTAAGGCTTTAACAGTCTGTAGGGAAACTGGCAGTGGGACCAGGATTTCATCCTAGTGCTTGAATTGGCATCTAGGAGCACATTCTTTTTTGAGGGTTACCTTGCTCAGCGTAAACATACTGAGGAGGGCCTTGGTCTTGCCTTGAAGTGAAATGTCATACTTTGTTGACTCCCCATGGGAAGCCTTACTTTTTCTGAGGAGTGGATGGGGATGTGGGGTTGGGAGAAGGTGAAGCAATTAGGAGGAGGGAAGGGAGTAGGAACAAAGTTAGCTATAAAATATGAAAAAAATATTGTATTTAAAAATTCTTAATAAAAAGAAAAAAGCTTTAAAAATTGGAAATACAATATATGTGTAAAACAAGTAAATAGAACACATATAACGACCTGAAATTATTCGCAACTCCTCTGATGGGCACAAAATTTCATTCTTGAGTCCAACTTGATGTTTACTATGCCCTTAAAATCAACTTCGTTGATCAGTGTTTGCATTGTAGCAGAGTGATTCTTGATCTATAAAATGTTTGACAATCTTGAAAAAAGTGTTCTTTCCTACACCTATATACTGGAGATATTGAAAAACTTCTTTTTCACATTTAATTCTTAGTTCTATTTGGAGATCAATTTGTGAGAGGTGAAAGACTTGAATCTAATTTCATTATTCTCCTTATGTATCTCCAGACTTCCCTGAACTTTTTGTTAAAGATGCAGTTTTTCTCCAGTGGGTTTTTTTGCCCTCTTTTTTTGAATATTAGAAAGCTACAATTATGTGCACTCATTTTTGAGTTGCTGATTTCCATCTTTTGCTCTACATATCTGTTGTAATGCCAGTGCCATTTTGATTTTATTACTATTGCTATATAATATATCTTGATGTCTAGCTTGGTAATTCCTCCAGCATTGCTCTTTTTCTCAGGATTATTTGGAGTATTCAAATGAATTTTAGGATATTTTTGTTTATTTGTGTGAATTATGTTGTAAGGATTTTGATTGGGATTGCACAAGTAAATAGCTTTTGGTAGAGTGATGATTTAAGCAATATTGATTCTATCAATCCATGAGCCTGGGATGCAATCGCATGTTGTATCTCTCTTAATCTCTGTCTTCAGATATTACAAGTTTTCATTATAGTTGAATCGCTGTCTTTAGATATTACAAGTTTTCAAGTTGAATTTTGGCATCTCCAGTTTTACTCAATAATATCATGTCATCTGAAAATAACAAAGTTTTTTTCTTTCTCCTAGTTGTATTTGATTGATTTCAGTTGAATTGTCGTGGGTAGAGAAAAATCAGGCTGGATAAAATATAGATCAATTATATTCTCTTTATTATAAGGGTCAAACTCACGGAACAGGAATGAGAGGTCCAAGGTCAGCTATGTAGCACGGGAACCACAGAGAGAATGAAGTTTGGGCCTCCTGATTTTTTTCCTGGTACCCAGAAAGCCACGCCCTAACTGGGTCCCACCTCTTAAAGATAATTGGTTGACAAAGATTCCCCATCACTTCCCCTTTTGTCTAAATAAGAGCTACCCAAACCCTATACAAAACTATATACAATAGAAGCAGATATCAAATATAACATTACAACCAACATAAACAATACTAAGCAAGGAACACATGATAAATGTTTTAATAAACATTCTATTCTAAAGAGTCTAAGTCTTGCATCAGAAATTGACTTGGCTAAATCATAAGAGGAAGGTAACTAAGACTGTTTAATCTTCAACCCCATTGAAGACCCGAGAAGGTAAATAATATTATTACTTGAGTAAGTAGGAAGTGCAATCAAGCAGCTTAAAAAGTGAACAGTATATGACAGACAATTGGCTACCTGAGAAATCACCCAAATCTCATTTGCAATGTTGAAGCAAGCAACTTTGGCTAAGGCCTAGTGTAAATGACATACCATTTTCAGAGGCAGGAAAAATTTCAGAACCATCTTACCCTGTCTTAGCAAGATTTGACAGTCTTTTCCCTTGTGCCCAGCTTATCCAATCCAGATATCATGTACTTTGTCAGTGGTTGAGACATGGGCAGTTTCTTATCCAAAGTCCAGTTGTGCCAAGAAGAAAACAAACTCCAAGTGGAGTGTCTCCGGTGCTCAAAATTCTCTTGGGAATTGATTGGTACTGTCTAAACAGCACATCAATCAACAGAACCCTAAGTTATTTAAATGCCATGTTCTACAGATCTTTGAAGTGGTTGAAGATTACCTATTTAGGTAGAATATAATCTCTATGCATCTAAAAAACCTAATTCATCTAACTATAAGTATAACAAACATAAATATTGACCTATAATACTTAATACCTGATAATTTCAAGACTAAGACTTCATATCAGAATATTAAATAATCTGTAAACAAATGTGCAGCAAATGAAACAATGACCTCAAAATGTAAACAACATATGAATATCTTGATCAGTGGTAGGAATAATATATAATACAATATGAAATATATCCTAAATATCATATCAATATATGAAATGTCTTGAAGAATGTCTTTCATTCTTCTTTTTATTGTTCTAGTTAATAACTTAAGCACAATGTTTGAAAGGAGTGGGGATAACAGATAGCTTTATCTTATTTCTAATTTCAATAAAATTGCTCCAATTTTTTCTTCATATCAATGATATTGGCTATTGGTTTCTCATATAGTTTTTATATGGTGAGATAAGTTCCTGCTTTTCCTACTCTTTCTAGGATTTTTATCATAAAGGTATGTTGGATCTGTAAATGGCTTTGTTTTTGTATCCATTGAGATTATTATGCGAGTTTAGTCTTTAAGTTAATTTGACAATGTATCTTGAACCATCCTTGCACATAAGGGACAGAGCTAAGTTGATCATGGTACATATTATTTCTGATGTATGTTTCGATTCAGTTTGTAACTACTTTACTCAATAATTTTGAATCTATGTTTATTGGGGATATTGTCTTGTAATTAGCTTTTTGTTGCATCTTTACTGGTTTTGATGTTAGAGTATTCATCTTCTTTGAACATCTGGTAGAATTTTTCTGTGAATTCTTGTAGGCCAGGATATAATACACAGAGATAGTTCCAGGCCATACAGTGCACTGCATGGTGGATATAAATTTTACTCAGAAAAAAAGGGTTTATATGCTTCATGGTGCTATCCAGAGTTTAGGTGGTAAGGATAGCTCCTACCTGGCAGTCCTAGAACTGAGGTGAATTACCTTCACCAAATTTAAAGACTGAGAGAGGTAGAGCCAGCACCCAGGGCTACCAAGACCAAGCTGCTTAGCATTTTAAGAAATGCTTCTGGTCAAAAAATAATTTCATTTACACAATAAAGAAAAACTAAGATGGAAAAGAACTCTAAATGTGTCATAGTGTTGGATAAATGTAGGTAGGTTTGAAAGAAAAGAAAAAGAGTATAGAGAGTCATAAAATAAAGTTAATGCTTAAAAAAGGTAAAGTCTTTAAAGAGACAGATTACACATAGTCAGAGATTAAAAGCAGTAAACAAAAAAATAAGCCATGTAAAAATGGAAAACTCACAGAGAGTCTGAATTATGTATATTATTATGTTATCTTTGAATTTCTTGACTGTGAAGGAGCTAAGTAAAGAGAGATATCTCATTGTATGGGCTGCTAAGCTAAATCAACATGTATATTCATAAAGGTATTTTGACTTCTGAATTTGGGTCTAAGAACATGTTGCTTTGGAAAAGAGTTTCTTCTTTGTTTCCACAGAAGATGAGAACCTGTGGATTGCTTCCAGACCAATATGGTTTCATGGAACAAGACACCCTGAAAGGTTGTTGTGAATACCCCTACAAAAATTACTTTACCCAATAAACAGCAGGAAGAAGTTTGGACAGAACTGTGCCCATATTCCCAAATATTGTTTATAAATATTCTTTTACAATGAAAGGGAGATATGCTATAGAGATTTGCATGGGTATGTACCTTGATTTATTGAAATAAATTTAAAATACATTTTGTTATACTGTGTAAATATATTTCTGATCTTGATTAAGGTATTGTGTTTGTCCAGGCACTGATCTCACTGTTAGGTGTCACACAAATAGACCAAGCCAAACAATTGTAATACATATGTAATACATATGTAGAGGGCCTAGGTTGATTTCATGCAGGATAATCCAGACTGTGAGCTTTGAGACCAGGATAGCTGCTTCTGTGGATTCTCTTGTGATGGACTTGATCCCCATGACTCTTACAATACTTCCTTCCCCTCTTCAACAGGATTTCCTAACACAGGGCTCAGTGCTTGGCTATGGATCTGTGCAACTGTTTCTATCAATCACTGGTTCCCCCATCACAATTGGGATAGTCACCAATCTGATTTCCAGAGAGGGCAAATTCAAGCTACCTACCCTCTATTGCTCAGAGTCTTGGCTGTGATCATTCTTGCAGATTAGAGGGGCAGGTGGAGATGGTAATTTGAGGGTCAGGTTAAGGGTTAGTTGGAGGGATACGTACTAAATAGAGATGTCTTGATATGGGTGTTTTATGGGCTAGGCTGGTGCAAGTGAAATTGCCACTTATTATTTTTAAATGAGACAACGATAACAAAATTCAAAAGATAAAACGTTTATAGGATGCTACATATTTCAGAAGCAGATCAGATGGAAGAAGGCTTAGCAATTGCTCATTTTTAAATTCTTGCACTTTATGACGTTGAGATAAATGTCAATCTTCTTATAGTCACCATCTAGGCAGCTGAGCTTGTTATAATAACCCAAAATGCGAACATCTTCCTTTGCTGACTTCGGTGATGCCACTTCAGGCAAGGTAGGGAAGTTCACAGCTTCTGCATTTCTAGGGTAAAGCTGATTACCAAAAGCACAATCAACTATCAATTATATTTAAATATTTTCGGTGCATATCCCATCTAAATGCTGAATAAAGATTTTTAAATTGTTAGAATTGTCAAAATCACCTAAATGTATGGATTTTCACTGATGTTGGAGGAGATAAATGCAAATTTGGTGTTTGCATTTTTTTTTGTTGTTGTTGTTGTTTTGTTTTGTTTTCTATCTGATCAATTACATCTTACAAAGTTAAGGGATACACAGTCAACAAGTTATTTGGTTTTAGATTTGGATTTGAGAAGAGGACAATGAAAGAATAAATGTCCATTATGTCACTTAAGGAATGTTCATGTCCTCAACAGTCCTTGATTTTTCCTTTATTTTTTTAATGGGTCCTGGTATTAAAATAATGTTTTTTTCTTCGTATTGAAAATATATTTTTTTTCTCTCATAAAATAACTTGACTATTGTTTCCTCCATCATCAACGTGTATCACCAAGATCAAGATCNAAGAATTTTTATACTTTATATGAAAAATGGTTTTTATATGGTTTAAGATGCAAATAGTCAAGGGATGATGATGCTAAAAATATCTTCTCAAGTCTTTAAGTGTCTGTCTTTTGAACCAGAAATGCTACTGTTCAAATTAAAATGAGGAACAGGTTTTTTTTCTTTCTGAGAACCATGGTATGTGAGAGTCTGAATAAAACTCACCACAGAAGGTTGGAATTGCCAGCATTCGCTTAATAGTGTGCCTTTTAGATAGCTGCATGCCAAAGTACTTGCTTGTTTGTTTTTATTTTTATTTATTTTTAATTTTTTTATTTTTCACAAATCAAAATGCTTCAAAATTTAGTTATTCTTTCTTTTTGTCACCTTATTTATAAGAAGAAAAGTAAAGAGAAGTTAGAACAGCTCACCACGTTGAGAAGGGTTTTGATGCCAACCAGCTGTCCTGAGCTCTTTTCCTTGATGTCTTTGACTTTGGAGATAACACCAGCAGGGATGCCTTTCAAGGTAGATAGTTCTTCATTCAAGTTTCGCAGAGGTTCTTCCCAGGCATTCAAAAGAGTGCCCACCCGATTCAGCAAGAAGCCAAACTAAGTGACCACATTTGAGCAATTACATTAGAATCATCAAAATAAAATCGGAGAGTTAAATACAGTTTTTCTTGAAAAGACTGAGATAAACTTCCCCTTTGTTGTTCAAATATGTATTTTAAAACAATCTTTTGTATATAATACCAGCTGCAGAAGTTGTGGTATTGTGATAAAGAATTTTAGAGTAAATTAAATTCAGAAATGCCACTAGGGTTCTCCATAGTAATTCTCACGAAATATAATCTCTTTCTTCACTTTGATTTTTCCACTTTCCTTCATAATTTCTCTGACTTTAATAAGAATTATAGAGATACAGAATGTATTTTTGCCATTAAGCAGAACAAAGTGGACACATCCTAACTGTGCAGATATATAGGGCTGTATGATAATATTTAATCTACATCATATTGTGATGGTTTAGATAGGAAGCAGGAAGTGGGAGATTAAAAAATAATAAATCACAACAGACATGAGTGTAGATCATACAGTGGAGTCACAGCACACAGCTCACCACTGCACTGTGTACACTCTGCTCCTTTCTGTAGCTGACTCTTAGGCATGGCACAGGCGAGAATAATTAGGACGCAGGATCAGAAACAGAAATTGAAGGAAAAGCTTCTCAGAAGCCAAGGAGAGATGGTGAACTAGTTTGCCATCCAAAGAACTGGAAATACAGGGTTCATTACTAACATATGATAAATACAACTGTATTGGCATTGTCTAAGCCTGCATCAATATGTTCTCATCCTTTAAGGTCAATGACAGTTTAAAAACCCCAAAAGAATAATATGAAGATTCTCACTGTTGGGTAATTGAAAAGGGTCCTTAATATGGACAATAATATGAAAATATTACTTAGCAGATTTCACTATATTCAGCTGTACTGCATATTTTTCCTTTCCGTGCATATTCTGTTTCCATTTTCCCAGAGGTATGATTATTATGTCTATTGCAATACTTATTAAGAACTTACAGCATGATATATACAGTGTACTGTTTCAACAGTTTTGTGAAAAATACAGGGAGTGTGGACTCACTTGTTTTTTCGTGGCTTCGCTTTCTGGAATGGAGAGGGAAGAAGTGTGGCAGTGGCTGAGGACTGTGTCATTGAAACTGTGGGCTTCAGCATAGTGGTTTTTCTGGAATTGGTGAAATATTCAGTTGAGCTTGGAAATTGTGAAAAGAATAAATGAACAGAAAGCTAATGCATTTAAAGTGAGTGCTAAAAGCCGAAACTAATATATTAAATAAATGAGCTTGGAGAACATTTTAATTAAAATACAATTATGTTTTCCCCTTCCTTTTCTTCTCTCCAACCCCTCCCATGTCCTCTTCTTCTAACTCCTCCTATCATCTCACTCTAACTCCTTCTAAATTCTTGGCATATATTTTAAATCATTATTGTTATATCTACACAAACACACACACACACATACCCCCCACACACCCACACTCAATCCAATGAGTCTGTTTACTCATTCACAGTGTTTACTGTGCATAAATTATTGCATGAATGATTATTTTACATTGCATAGCCAATTTAGGGGCTCATTCCCAGGGAATACTTTTAACTACACTTTAAGCTTTATATGTAGTGTCAGTTTATACTCATCTAACTTTCAAATTCCCCAAATCCTCTTCACTGTTTCAGTCTTTCTAGAAGTTATGATTTGAGAAGCAGGGGTTAAAGCTAGCAATGCCCTAAATCACTATTGTTTTATGTACCATTTGTAACAAATGCCACCGTGTATAGCATGCCTTGCAAAGACCTTGGCACCTACACAAGAATATTTCACCTAGGTCATTAGGAATGTAGAATAATATTGCATTGGTTAGGACAAAATAAAGCTTAAACCCTGCACAGGCTTTAAAGAAATATAAACCATGAACCAACTAAAATGGAAAATTACTTTGCTTTTGCATATTAATCAACATTTAGTTATTTGTTATATACTCCTATATCTTTATTATTTGTAGTAGCTCTTATTTAAAACCATAATTAGAGAATTGTTTGATATTTTGAAAATATTTTTAGTATGATCTTGGTGGTGATCCCAATCAGGAAATGTAAGTGATTAGAACAACAGCCTGCAAAATGAATGATAGGAACACCATTGTTTGCAAACATTGAGCTGAATTCTCACAGCCCATTGATGTGGAAATGTCACTAATTGTGACTTCATTGATAGGAGTAGAACATCTAACATACATACTTCAAAGTGTATTCATCTTGAATACCTAACCAATTGCTCTGCATATGCCAGACCTCCTTGTTAGTAAATCAAATATTTTTTAATTCATTAAAAATAGTTTCTAACATTTGGGAATCTGAAGAGCAATTATCAATTTTCTTGCTCTTGCTGACTTTGCCCCAAATGTCTTTAGCCCTATTTAATGCTTACAAGTTACTGCAATGCAGTTTCCTTTATTACAAGACTGTAGTGTCCAGTGGAAGCAGAGAGGCTAGAATAGTACGATCAGGTGGAGAGGGGAAGGGATGAAAGTGGGGAGGAAGGAAATATAGAAAAAGACAGATAAAATTAAGGCCATTTGAGAATAGCGTGAAAACCTATACAGTATAAGATTGCTAATATANAAGTCCAGAAGTCTGGCCAAATACATACATACATACATACATATGTGTGTGTGTGTGTGTGTGTGTGTGTGTGTGTGTGTGTGAAGGTGATCTAAATGAAAACTCCAAATAATGGGGGAGACAAATCACCATCTGGTCACCTCTTACCACCAAATGAAGCTTCTGGTACCAGTATTGGGTTACATTTAATTGGGTTGTAGCCCAAAGTGATTAGAAACCACCAAATAACCCAGGCTGTATTTTGGCCAAGACTATAGTTTGCTCTCCACAAACTGATGGCAAGGCCCCATAGTTGAAGACAATACCTATAGAACCCATTGAACATGAAGAAGTTGAGCGGGTGCCTCCACAGACTTTTAGCCCTGTGTGCTAATATCTTTGGAACGGGAGGGTACTCTGGACACTATCAAAAGATAAACATAAAGACCAGCTCAGTCACAAACTCTTTGATATACAATGGTATCCTGCCTGCAAGAAATCCTACAGCAGCAGTGGTACAAATCTTGTGGAAGTAAACGACTAATACCTGATTTGACTTAAGACCCTCTCCATGAGAGGTCAAACCATATCCAATACTTTTTAGGGAACCAAGAACATGATACTGGATAACCTTGGGTAAAACTAAATGCTACTTTCTAAAAACAAAAACAAAACCCAAAGAAAACTGTGAAAATAAAAGGACTCCTAATGACATTCTTCTATATTCATAGATGTCTCATTTAACCATCATCAGGGGAGCTTCCTTCTTCAGAAGAACAAATACAGAAACCCACAGGCACACATTATGTTGAGAGTAAATGACCTTGGACCACTCAGGCCAAAATGGAATATTTCCATCAGATCTCTCTACTCAGAGGTCAGGGAACCCAAAGTGGAAGGAAGACACCAAGAAACCAAGGCCCTTTAAATCAACATAGTTTGCTGTGGTGGTTGCATGTGCCTTTAATCCCAGGACTTGGGAGGGAGAAACAGGTGCATCTCTGTGAATTTGAGGCCAGTCTGGTCTACAAGAGTTAGTTTCAGGACAGGCTCGACAGGTCCAGAGAAACCCTGTCTCGGAAGAAAATAATTTTAACATATTTAAACTCAACATAATTTAAACGCATATAAAGTCACAGAGACTGAGGCAGGGTGCACAGGGCCTGTGCTGGTCTGCACCAGGTCCTTTGTGTCTATATTATTGTTTACAGTTTCATAGGATTCTTGAGTGTATGAGCAAGATGGTCTTTGATTTTGTGCCTCCTCTTGAGCCCTTTTCTTTTCTTTTGTTGGTTTAGTCCGATTCTGATGTATTAGTTTTGTTTTTATCTTATCTTACTTCATTGCTCTTCCTAAGGAGCCTGTTTTTTTTTTTTTCTAATGAGAGACATGAAGGGAGTGGACTCAGAGTGGGGTACATGGGGTGGATCTAGGAGGAATAGAGGGAGATGAAAGGGCAATTAGTGTATATTTTGTGAGAAAAATATCTAATTTTCAGTAAAAGATAAAACAAACAAGTAAACGAATAAAGTAATAGGAGTGATGGATAGCCCACTAGATAAAGGAAACGAGAAACATTTCTTTTGTTATTCCTAGCATGTCTTTAATAGGGAATTAAAATGAAAGCCGAACAACAGATGAACATTAAAATAGTAGTGTTTCAGCCAATAGTATACATTTCTTGCAACTGTCCTCTTATTGGCCCCGCAGTTCAGTAGCTGCTGTTTTCTTATCCTTTGAGAAGGAACACCTGTTTCAGATTTAGCTCATGGTGTACTTTCCTATAGGATAGCTGTATTGCAGCCATTGTGATGGAGGCCTGATTTGTTATGAAGCCAGAAGTCAGTGGGGGTACTTACAAATTCAGTGAGCATTTCTGAAACTTTTTGGCTGATTTCATGAGACTGACTGCCTGCTACATCAAACATGTCTCCCAAGGAATTAAAGCAGCGGCCATTCCTCATTGCGCACATGGGTACTGATGCCACGTTCTCCCACAGAAGCTGGTTGGACACCAGGAGTAGGAGCAGTGTCCCTGTTAAAGAAGAAGAGTGACTCTGAGATATATTTCCGTGGGGTTATGAAAGTCATCCTGTCAATGGAAGCCTTATGTGGTCAAAGTGGCCTCCTACCAAGAAACTCTTTTGAACACTGTAGGAGTAATTCAATGGGAAAACTAATCTAAGTAATCAGATTTTCTCAGACTTCTATTTCAAATCATGAATGTCCTTTTTACAATTTATTAAAACAACACCCAAAAGTGTTCTGTGTTCTAAAAGTATTTGGAGCTTAATTTAAGTCAAGGCAGGGTATCAAGCCTTTCTGTTCAAACCATTTTATGTCTAGTGAATTACTGATATTTTCTATAATAAGAGATGTTATGAGTTTGTTTGTAGCAGTTAAAAATATATTTGTTTTATTTTAAGTATAGCAGTGTTACATGTCAGACAAAGGCATGAGATTTCTGAGAATTAGAGTTACATATAGTTGTGAGCAGCCATGGAGTGCTGAGAACCAAACACAAGTCTTGTTCAAAAGCAACAACAGCTCTCAACCACTGAAAAAGGATCTAAATTTGTCTGCTATCAGTTTGGGGCACCAGTATAAAAAGAACAGCTCTGTGAATTAGCTTTATCTTCGAGTTAGATGGGAACAAACACACAATCGTTCAATAATACTAACAATGTAGAGTTATGCCACAATCTGAAATAAATAATTCTGTACCATAATGTCACATTTTCTTCTTTTTCAATATTTACATACAGTTTTAACATTTTTTTATTATGACCAAGATTGGCATCATCATCAGTTTACTTTTGAATGATGGACATATCAATATTTAACACTTTCAATATGATAAATCAGTAGCTATTTATTACAAAGAAAATTCTATTACTTTTAATGACACTAGTCTGATAAATGGATTTGGAAATGTGCAACTGAAAATTAGGAAATTGTTAAATTTTATTCATGGAAAAATAAATAAAAATATCAAATTATTCTGTAGTATATAAGATAGCCAGGCACCTTTTAAAAGTAAATCAAAATGTTACACACACACATACATACATATGGACACACAAACGTACACACACACACACACACCCCAGACACAGACACACACACAAGTACACACATACACATGCTCTCATTTATCATCGATAGGATTTTTAAAAACCTAACAAGAGCTAATAATTTTGTTTTGTCACTTCATAAAATCCAAATTATTCTTATTGGTAATCCATATTACTTGTAAACAAAAGGGAATATAAGCAATTGTACCCTCTTTTCTGTTCTTTAAAAATTTTTTGTACGTTCTGATGTTCAGTTCACATTCCCCAACTCTTCCCAGACCCAGGAACCATGCAACTTCCTCACTCGCACAACTTTGTGTCATTAGAAAAACAAAACCAAAACATTTAAGACCAATTTGAGCTAACCAAATATTCTTTGATGTTCAGTCTTATACCAGAGCATGTTCAAATCATGAGGGGATACACATTTAATAAACTATCTTTTACACTCCCAAAATTGCCTATGGCTTCAGAGGTAGAGGATTGTGTGTTCAGTTCCCTTGCAGCTCTGGTATTTTCTCTTGTGTAAACTTGCTGAGGCTTTATGGATGGTGAAAGAGTATTTGCCTTGAATGAAATTTTAATGCTGTATAAATACATATTTGTTATCGTCATTGACTTGTCCCGAGGATAAAATATGAATGCATCATTCCAGTCAAGCAACTCATAGCAGAGACCCAGTAATGAGTTGATGCTCCTTTTTCCTTCTGTAATTGTTAGAAATTCTACCTATATGTTCATATGATTTTATTACAGTTAATAGTGTCAATGTTTGAAATTCTGACTTTTTTTTTTATTTTCGAGACAGGGTTTCTCCATAGCTGTTTTGGTTCCGGTCCTGAAACTAGCTCTTGTAGACCAGGCTGGCCTCGAACTCACAAAGACTTGCCTGCCTCTGCCTCCCGAGTACTGGGATTAAAGGCGTGCGCCACCACCGCCCGGCTTGAAATTCTGACTTTGTGAAATTCATTATTCCATGTTCTAAAACTTAATGTGTCATTCAGAGTTGTGTAGACATACAACTCCAAGAACCCCTGGTCTGAGAGTTGTTGTATAGTTGCTATCTAGAGAAATGATTAGAAAGTACTTCTTACTTACTTTATCTTTTCCTTTTCTGGGTCTGGTATTAAAAAATACCTATTCTCTTCTTATATGGGGGAAATAACACTGTAAAAAGTAAACTATCCAAACCAGCTTTGTACAATCGTGCAATGATTAAGGTCAACTGGAGGAAGTTGGGAGAAGAGCTACTTACAGGAACGTGGTTGAGTCAAGGACAGCTGCATCTCCGTGGAGTCCCACCACAGCTTCGCCGCTGATTCAGGGAAGCTGTTTGACCAAGTCCCGTCTCCAGTTAACTTTCCACCTCCTATATAGTGCAGCACATCATCCCCAAGGCCAGACACTGCTAGAAGGCAGGAAGAAGTAATGTCTGGAATTCAAGTTGAGGATACCATTACTCTCACCCATCATTAGCTAATAGCCTCATTACAACAATGATCAACCTAGGTATATAGGTATTATTTGCCTCGTTGTTAGGTCATCACTATGGTTCATGTTGTGTTGTAAATCATCAGAGCTGTTTCTGAGCCATGAAGAGTGCTGCGAATTTCTTATCACATCTACAGTCTCTCTGATAATTCTTCTGTTTCTTGTAAGTTACAAAGGTAGGCAAAGCCTATAAAACTGTGCTTAAATCAAATTCAAACATATTTGTGTGTTCTTACAGCAGCTTCGCCACTCTTAGGTGAATCTATGTATCTGCCTTGGGTTGGTAATGGCCCTCTTGGACTGAGCAGGTCCCCTAAAGACACTTCTTAGCAGTCGCCATCATAATACCACGTAATACTATAAAATCCAACTGTAACTTTGAAACCTTTTACCTGTCTCAGCACATATGGCATGGACTAGAACATGCGGCATCTCATTGCATAGTCTCTTATATTTAATACTGTTTGCATCCGACTCACTGACAATATTCTGTATTATATGGCCAATGGGTCCTCACTGATTTACAGGTCATGGGAAACTAATAAATAATTTATGACATATTTCAGTAATCTTGAGATTTTAGCTAATACTTCTTCCAACCATGCTAGATAACTGCTTTCAAATTGCTAATTGCTATCTTTGCTTGTCCATGACTTTCCAAATCTGAACAATACTAGATGCTACCTTCATACAATAGAACCTTACAGATAGTTATCAGAATCAATGAAGGCCCAGTTTTATCTGCAACAAACAAATGAACATTGGATTGAGTTGAGTACTTTCCTGAAACATTAAACAAGAAAGCAAGCAAAGCTCCTATTATTAAGTTATGATAAATAATGAAAACTCACAGTAGTTATTTCACTTGTATCCTCCAAAGTACAAAGTTATAAAAAACATGTACCCCACACTGCCTTATTCATCCAAAAAATACATAATCAGTATGTTCATATTCATTATTGAATTAAAAGGATTAAGAATAACCTACGAGGCTATGGTGCAGAACTTCTCTGCTGTTTACACAGTTTAGTAGCTCTTGTCCTCTCCCAGTGAAGGATTATTATTGTCTGAAGTTCTGATTATGATGTTTTCCGCTCCAATTTATCATGCATCCCAGTGATTAAAGTTGTGACACCTAATGTAGACTGGCAACAGACTAGGAATAATTTAGGAGACAAACCTCTAGACATTACCCTCCGAAAGATTTGTTATCTGGCTACTTAAATGGCAAGGAATTGCCCAGATGGAATGACTAGGACTAGGGGATTTCAGCAACAATATTGTACCCTGCAGCTTCTAGATCCTGGAAGCAGTATGACCAACTGTCTCACCTGTCTTGCTGTATTCAAAAATGTCCTCTTGCAGTATGAACCACAATAAACTCTATGTCATGAAAGGGATAGAGTTTTTTTTTTTTTTAATAATGTTCATCATACCAAAGAAAATGGAATTTTAGCAAAATTCATCACTTACTATGACATTAATATTCGTCATCTTGAGGCAATTTTGTAAGGCCATTGAGCAATCTTTGCGGAGTAGACCCCCCCCCCCCGGTTGTCCTGTACTGGGGTAAATTGGGGACAGGGTCCATTCGCTTACACAGAAGTGTGTGACATCACCTGCCTTCTTGTTTCTGACTGGCTCCAGGCTGACCCTGTGGCTATATCTTACTTATCAGCCACGCATGTCCGCTGAAAGGTCTCAGAGCTGGAAGAACAATGTTCATACCGAAAGCCTCTCATTTCCCATAATAACATAAGTTCAACTTGGTTTTATCTCCACAAGTAATTCTCCCCAACATTGGTACACATTCTGCATTTGAAGAGGTTAGACACATTTCCACATCAATTATCATAAATTTTACACATTACGATGTTTGGTAGCCATAATTACCCATTCCTAGCTAAAACCGAATCCATGTCACTTTAATGTTGTTATGTCTATATCTATATTCTGCTGCTCACTGTCTCTGAAAACTTTCAGAGCTGTCAAGAATTTATGCTCAGTTAGGTGAATGTTCACCAAAACAGCAGCAGTTTATTAATAGAATCAATACTCCCATAATTTTATTGTGGGGGCATCCAGTCAGCAGTATATCCAGTCACCCGTATATGCCAGCAATAACAACCATTCTCCAAATGAAATGTGTGTATTGGCTCCTACTGATGGCATCTCCTTCACCACAGCAACAGTTTCACTGCTAACACCTGTATCTCTTACTCTCGTTCATGAAACTGTGCTCTTGACATCTCAGTCTTTAGAGACATATATATGAGTTATATATCCCTCCACCAACCTGTCCCTGGAGATTTTGCTTTGAAGCCATCCCAAGCTGTTCAAATACTTCTTTCTGGAGCCCCCTTTTCTTTACACATCCTGCCTCAGGAGCCCTTTAGAAGCTCAGTTTTAACCACTGTTGCTCTGGTCCTTGTCAACCTCTCTGTTTGTACTTCAGCCAGGAGAAGAGATAGTCTGAGGAGACACAGAGGCGTCCCTCCTGCACTACTCACCACGACCATGTTTGTACTCACAAAGGTCGTTTCTTTTTCCACCACATAGCGGCTGAGAGCTGATGCCTACATTTGAGTAACTATACAACCATGTACCCAAAAAGAAATAAAATCTTGCCACAAGGAATCCTGCCGGAAATGTAATTCTTCTAGAATTTTAGTTAAGAGCTCTAAACTGTTTCTCAGTGCTCCTAAAAAATGTAGAGAGTTTCAAAATATATTCAAACGTTGATCACACAGTAAATTTAAAACAGGACACAATCCTATATTTAAACTTCATACTTCATCTCTTCTCATGATTTATTACAAGGTCATGTCACTTGACTCCAAACTTAAATGAGAAATAGAGATTAAAATAAAATCGGAACAAATAAATATAAAACTCTGTTACATGAAACAATACAGAAAGTGAGTTTTCTGTTGAGCAAATGTGAATGTTCTTGTCAAACAACCAAACTAATTGGAACAAGTGCATATGTGAGCTATAAGGGTTCACTGTGGACTCTGTAACTCATGAAATTACACAGCTAAAAATGTTCATTGATAAGAAATAAAATAATAAGAATTTATATCTCAAACTCAGAAGCTACCATTCTCTTCAATTTTTTAGATATATGAGTTATAGACAAGTAACATTTGAGAGAGATTGAAACCAGGGAAAATATCTCAGCAGTTAGCATTTCGTCCATTTTAAGCACTAGGAACAGTCAATCAAAATTTTGTTCCTGGCTGCATTAAGCCTCAACTTCTGCTGTACATCCAAGTCCATAAATAACTTTTTTTATTCCCTTTATTTTCTTTTTCCCACTTTTTAAATAGATTTTTATTAGCTCTACATTTTTGTCTGCTCCCCTTCCTGACTCTCCCCTGCCCCAAGGTACCCATGCTCCAAATTTACTCAGGAGACCTTGTCTTTTTCTACTTATCCCTTATTTTCAAAATATTTGGGAAACAAAGTGATAACAGAAAATAGACTGATTAATTTTAGCCCAAAAACATGTTGAGTAAGAGAGAAAAAATTATCTAATTTAATTACAACTTCAATGCCTTCTGCAATTTAAAAATTTATCTAAAGTCATGAATATGGAATAGATCACATATGGATGGGAATGTTAGAAATACGAATGGTGCACTTCTAGGGGCATTCTCAGGTTGTATTCATTCTCTAGTACACTACAGATACCATGAAGCATAAAATCCTCACCGTTGCCGGTGTGGAAAATGCTGTGGCTGCTTGATCAACTCATTGGAAAGCTAAGAGTGGATGGTGTTTTGGTATGTTCAAACATGAATAAGGAGCTCATGATCTCCCTATTCCCCTGACTTGTCAAAACTACAATTTTTGTAAGTGTTCAGGTGACATACTAATACACAAGTGGTAGAGTTTGGAGTTTCTATGTAGATTATCCCCATTCCAGCCAGGGACACTTTGCTAGATCTCAGTGACAGAGACTTTCAGGTAGACTGAGTTTTTTTATGTGAGAAATCATTGAAGATAGATGAAAAGGACAAAAGAAAAATTGATCACTCAAAGGAAATATGGCAAAGACTAAGTTGATCTCAAAGCAAAGTTTTAGAGAATATTAATAGAGTGACTATTTGGGGGGGTTGTATGGAAACCTAATTCATTAAAACCTTCCTAAAATATATGCAAATATGAAAGTTATCTAAGTGAAATTCCCAAACAGTGGAGGAGATGGAGGCCCTTGGCACCAAATAAGATTTCCAGTACCAGGAATGGGTCAGATCTGAGTTTTGGCTGAAGAAGTTCCATGGAAGTCCCCATATAAAAGCTCTTCACAAACAGATGGTAACGCCTCATTATTGAATACAACCCCTACAAAATTCATTGAACACAGAGAAGTGGACCTGGTGCCTACCTAGAACCTGTAGTCATGTGGACCAATGTTCACATTAATGGGAGGTACACTTTACTAGAGGAAAAAGATGAACACCAATTCAACTACAAAGCCTTCCATCGACTATAGTGACATGCCTACAGTATACGCTGCTGCAGTGGTGGCCTCAAGCATGTGGAAGTAGTCAACCAAAGTCTGACTTGAGGTAAGCCCCCCCTCTTTGAGATGGAACCCTTGTATCCAATTCTGCTTGGAGCGGGAGGGGCAGAGGAACATAGTAATGAAATGAAAGGGGTATCCTGATAAAATGGCTCCTAATGGCACTCTGCTATACCCATAGATCAATGCCTTGTTCAGCCACTGCTAGAAAAGTAGTCTGGCCCAGATGATACCCAGCTAGGCTCATGTACGAGTGAGAGAGCTTGGCACACTCAGCCCTAAAAGGAATATCTCCATCACATCCCTCCTCTT